TTGCTTTGCCGATGTTTGACTATCGATAAGCCGCATACTTGGATAGTGATGCTGACTCATTCGCGCGTAGGTTCCAACCTCTCACAGGGTCAGCGGCAGCTCGTGTCGCTCGCCCGTGCTATGCTGACGCCTTCCAACATCCTCGTGCTGGACGAGGCAACCGCGGCCGTCGACGTCGAGACAGACGCCATGCTGCAGACTACTCTGCGTTCGCCAATGTTTGCCAACCGTACCATCATCACCGTAGCTCACCGCATCAACACCATCCTCGACAGCGACCGCGTCGTCGTACTAGACAAGGGCGCGGTGGTGGAGTTTGACACACCGCAGGCACTCATCAAGAAGCAGGGTGTCTTTTACGGATTGGTGAAGCAGGCTGGTCTCGACACCTCGGAGTCCTCGTAGAAAAGAGGACGAAGACGGTGCACAGCAGCTTGTGTGACGACCTAAGAAAATCTCGGCGAATGGAAAAGTGGTGACGGCAGCGGCGGCGGCGGGCAAGAGAATAAGACCGTGTAGTCTACTGTGTAACTACACCGAGTTGTTTTCCCTCTTTGATCTAAAATGTGTAGGCTGCTCAAAGCCCAGAGCGAGAGGTGGAAGCGGGTGGTAGCGTGGATTGGAATGCATTGTCGGCATCTGTAGATTTACTCAAAGAGACTTTGCATCTACTTGAACTGTACCGCTATAGTACAATGTGACATTTCTGCCCGTTACGTTGGGCGAGGTCGCTATTGTCTGACAGTGATAGCAGACCGTTGGTGTGTCTTATTCCCTCCCGGTCGCGCAGCGGCTCTCTGCCTGCACTCTCTCGCCGGGGAGACAGCCCAACCCAAGAAACGTTGATTTGCCTCACTCTTCGTCGTATCCCGAGAGGCAGGTTGTCGCCCACCCTCTTCCCCGCCCCTGCCGCGCCTCCATCGACGAATTTCCTTGGCTGAGATAACAATTGGAGAGGGAGGGGAAGGCGGGTGCAATTTCTCTTTTGTGTAACGTGAGATGGGCAGACGCGGCAATTGATGGCTCAAATGTCTCTTGTAGTGGGGTTAGTGATGATTGGAGGAGCTGGTGAGTGGTAACGGCGGTCGGTGATGGAAAGCCGAAATGATACTGAGAAGGAGAGGGCGGGAGACGGCTGTCTGTGGAACGATTCAGGATGGGTAGATGTATTTGATAACCGGGTGTTTGATGTGATGGACGCTGTGGAGTGCGGCGGTATTGGGTGGGTTCGTTACGTTCGGCGAAGATATTTACTCAAAGGATGGATCGTGACGATCAGGCTGGGTAAAGAACCGGTTAGAGGATTTGAATCCAAGTGTGCCTGGCCTACTCCTCATCTTTGATTGGTCTTGTACTAGTATCGTGACAGGTAGTTGTCGGTGTATGGGGATAATGCTCTGTGGAAGGGAGGGTTAGCTGTTCTAACTTATCTTGAGTTCCATCCCTTCTTCGGATATCTTGAGATCTTTAGAAGTCAGCATGTGGCAATCGCCATGTCGGATCATCCACATAGTTCCTGTATCATCAGGAATGTCGTTCGCGGTCTAGGCGTTGCTCATGAGGAGCAGACTGAAATAGCAGACTTTTCTGCTATGAGCCCACGAGCAAGTCACTCGATGGGGCTCTTGGAAGATGACCCAAGCATCTATGCCCCTCACTAGGCCTGAACCGTATGAGCTGCTGAAATCGATGTGATGAAATTTTGGCCAACATTCCCAACATGACACGATATCTCCCCTAGTGTAACGTGAGTCAAGTAGACTCAGGAACTCGAGAAGCCTGGCTAAGTACCCGGCATTTGAGTACATATAGATTAGACATCTCTCTACTTGGATATTTTATCAACCTCCTTTTCAGATCGAGCAGTCTTTGGATATGAGCTAACGTCCTCCCTGGCGAACTCTACGCACGTTCTCGGTTTCCGAGATGAGGTGTTCATGGAGAGATATAAGAGAATGATTGACGTGTAAGATTGACCGTATCAAAGCTGCGTTAGACTTGAAGAGAAGCCATGCTCGCGGCTGGCGATCGGTTTCGCTCATGTCTGTGACGTCCGCTTCTCACTTCCCTCACCCTTTGCCCCTGATCCGTGTTTTCGAGGGTTTCAGGTCTTAACAACCCTCAAGCTAGGTTTTTTACAGGTACTGTACTCACCACCACATTAGTATCGACGAAGTTCTTCCATCGTACGAAGTACCGACTTTGTCACGTTGTGTTCCTGACTTATTCTCTATATCCTCGAGCTCAGATAACTTGTAAGGCATTTCGATCTATGTTCAACTATGGTCACAAACACAATCTTCTTCAGACGTTATATCGCAGGATTCACAGAAATAGTGTTCGCTCAATCAAAGCGTAGTCTTCGTTTTTGAAAGGCTCGCCCTGTGTCGTTCGTTAACCCACTATAAAGGACTCTGGGGAGAGAGTGGAGGATCTAGGGATCATTGGAAAGTACCACTGTGTGTCTATGACATAACATGTCAAAATGACCTGCCTTATGATAGTCTTGCATGGCCATCACTCTTTGAAGCGACTGGAAGAGTTAACCACCCCTTCTCCGAGAAGAGACTCAACAGCGCAGTCAACTTGTTCGAAGCAAAGCATCCAACCCCCCGGAAACCGAATTCAAACCTCTCGTTACCTTTCATCTCCTCTACGAGAGGCGAATCTGAACCCTTAACAGGGTATACTCGCTCTCCCTCTCTTCGCAATGCCGGGTTATTTACCCGCCGTCGGCCGGGACCACGTGTCGTGACTCGAAACACAACCGACATGCCATCATCTGCCGGCGGCCGAAGATATGTCCGCGTCTCTCCCATTCTTCTTATAGACTGCGGCCAAGCGCCTCGCATCGCAGCGCGTTCAGATCCCGAAGCAGTCCAGACTCCGAAAGAGAGAGCCGCCTGAATACGGCATCAAAAGGCTTTGATAGCGGCGTTTGGTTGTGACACCAAAGGAGGCTAAGGACTGAGCGACGAAGTCCCGTGCCTCCCATGTAGCTTCCGCGCATCGAGTTGGTGAAGGGATGGCGACTTTTGTACGAGAGGAGCTTTGTCGGATCTTTGAGAATCAGGCTATTGTTGGTAGTTGACCCACTCCAAATTACTGAGCTCCTCGAATATTATGATACGGGTGATTAAACGCGGAAGATTCGTTGGGTTCCTGCTCTCCTGGACTGAGGGGACCCATTCACATAGGCTTGAAACCCGCACGCAGGAGCATCGGAGACAGGGTTTGGTCCGTGAACCGCCTTAAAGGACTTCTGCTTGCTTGAAAAAATGTGTTAAGAATTCTTATCTAGTAGAAAGAAAAGCTTCCTGGATAGACTGTGCTACTCAACACTGCCTCGGATCGTTGAGTACAAAGGGCCCAGGTTCGGGATTTGCAAAGGATGTAAAGTCTGCGATTATGGCCTAGAGGGTAATCTAAGACGAAGATCCGAACATAAGCAAGGGAAAGACTTGCCCTGGGTCGTGAAGTCGTGATGGGTGGAGGTGTATCTTTCCCCGCTTATCATGGCATGGGAGCACAAAGCCTTCTTTCACTACGTAAGGTAGTAAAGCTCATTGGAGAACCCCACAACAGGTCAGTCACCGCATCAATACATCACCGGTTGGTCGAACATCTCTTTTTCTTCCGATAATGTAAGAACGATGTTGCAATCTGGTCTAGGGAATCTTGCTTCTCTAATGGTACGGCTCTTTGAAGTGGGAGGAGCCCGGCCCGGGGGAGTATCAGCTCCCTACCGTCTGATGCCTCATTGCCACCTCCTATCTCCTAGTCTCTAGGATATCTAACTTGTTTCAATACTTTTGATGCGATAGATTAGGATGGACCGAGAAACAAGAGTGGCAGCCCGGAAAAACTCCAAGTATCGGCCGTACGAACAAGAACCACATAATGCAGCGCAAGCATACGCACCATACCTAGATCAGATGAAGAGCTGAGGGGATATTCTTCAGACCATCTAGAGTGGTCAGAGGTTGCGCGATTCCGCACGGCTAGTCACCGAGAAGGAGTCTCGGGGCTCATAGGCAGGAGCAATCATGGTCAAACGTACACACCCTCAAGCCTGCGTGTGCCTTGGGCTGGGCAACCTCTTCATGTACCCGTCATGACTTGACTCTCGGGTGGCCGCCACGATTTTCTTTCTTCACCCTCTCGACCTAGACCTGGACTCCTATTAGACCTACACTTGCACGCCCGCCTCTTAGCGACCAGCAACGGTAGCACGCACTCGAATTGCCAACAGTAGAACAGCAGCAGGTCATCAATCTGTACAGGGAGGGTTCGAAGTGGTATGTCGAGCAGAGACTTATCATCGAAAGTGAGCGGGAAGAAAAACAATGCCAAGCAAGCTTCATTGAGGGATGGGCTGCTATGCACTGCATTTTATCCGTATCAGGTCGAGCAGTCAGCCACATCCATCCCCGTTTCCGCTCTTACGCATAGGTACTTGGTGATTCTACACAGTAAGCTGACCCGATATAGACCACACGCTCAGCTTGGTTAGGGCACTTTCAAAAGGAGATCAGCAAACCTTTCCCCCATTTGGTTATCATACGCCCAAGGAGCTTGACCTGCATTAATCACGAAAAGAGTCCATACTCTACAATGACAACATACCCTATCCATTGCTAGGTAGAATAATCCTTTCACCACCGTATATGGAACAAATCCCGGGCAGAAGCGTAGAAGAAAAAGAGCCCGTGGGTGTTGTACCCGGTCGCGGTATCGACTTCGCAATACTTCGAAACGTACAAGAATCGCGGAGTACGGGAGAGAAAAAGAAACCCCTCGTCATGATACAAGAAATAGAAATGTACGTTTCGTGATTTCAAACAGCGACCCAATGATGGCGAACCTGGACGCCAGCCCCAGGCAGCACCCTCTATCGAGCGCCCGGATCTTAATTCACCGTTTAAGAGCCAGGGGTGGAAATGGTGTGGGAGGGAAGGGAGGGGAGGGGAGGGGAGGGGAGGGAGTGAGAGGCCAGGCAGTTGGAAATTGAATGGTGAGAGTGAACGAATCATCCATCTCTTTTCGTAGAAGAGCCAGAAAAGTTCAGGGACTAGTCGGTGGTGAGCCTTCCTCACTTTCCGATGCCTGCCATGGGAGGGTGTGGGTGTGGGTGTGGTGGTCGAACGCCCACGGCCGGAGCTGTGTTACTGTTGCCGTTTTGTTTTTTCACCCACAATCGAGTGAAGCACCGTTAGCCATATCTACGAAGAACTATGGTAGCCGCTTAAGCTGTTGTGTTACCGCCGATGCTGTGTAACGTCGGACGAGTATGCGGATTCGACCACTGTTTATATGGCGCTGGGATAAGAGGAGGAAGACCTAAGCCAAGCATTGAGTTATTGTGTTACGGTATCATTTGTGTCATTTGTCACTTGATGCCATGCCAGAGACGCCGCGTCGGTCTTGCAAATAACCCTGTCTGATTCATACCTTTCTTCGAGTGGCTTGGATTGCAAAGTCACTGAATGTCTTGATCTTGCAACAGCTGCACAATCATCGAACTTGATGACGAAGCTGTTTTGTCAAACGGTATTTGGAAGACATGATGGGGAACATTGCCAAAAGAGCAAATGAGGTAGCAGTAGCTTGTTGAAGGTGTCTGATGAGGTAGTCGCTCAACCGACGATGAAGAATCTTTATCATCAAGGTGGTCTAGCCCACGCTTCAACGTTCCCGATCCAATCCGATGGGCATCGTGAGGGCATCTCATATGCCGGCCCCTTGAATATTGTTTTGCTCTACGAGAAGCGGTTGCGGTGCGAATGTGACTATTGTAATGACTGGCCCAATTCGCCTTGATTGGACAGGGCATTTGTGCGACAATAAATGCCCTTGTGGCCTGGGCATATCTAATAATTCATAGTCTACTACTGTTCCCATAATATCCAAGGGAGAGACCATCGGGGTTATACACGCCTGATAAGGCCTTATACGAGCTTTTACTCTGCCATGAAGATCACATCGCAGTTGGACGCGACAATTCAGACTGTAGCTGAAGCGGCTTTGCAAGGAAACGAACTCCGTTGAAATCGGAGGTCGCATCAAATCAGGCCGAGTACTTGTAAAGGATGCTTGGTACGCCCTCTCTCAACCCCAGTTCAAATACTCCCGAATAATCTTCTTCCGAGACAGTCTGACGGTCTGAACCGGAGGAGGACGACAAAAGTAGATTAGAGCCAAGATGGGCCCGGAATTCGGGAATGATCTTGGCTCTTGTCCCCTTTCTCCTGGTCTGTGAGCTATTGACAGGCTTTCCGGTTGGTTCTGGGGGGCGTCTGATGTACATATCAACGGAGGGGAGCTCAGCTGGCTTACGGTCCTCGTTACCACTTTGTTGGTAAATGGCCCAGAGATAACACTGCGGCGTAGCAAACAACGGCGTAGCAAACAAGCACCTGTCAGCCACGAGCCTGGAATTATTGCTATATCACTAAGCCTCGGAATTCCAGCCTAGTTGGCAATTGAGAAGACTGGCGGTGTTGTCGATGTCGAAATAAAGTTGAAAGTAGAACACGACAAAAAAGAGCTAATACAGAAGCGTCAAGTCAGTGTGGGAAAGTGAGGTTGACGTGGAATTCGCTGGCGCATAGCTCCCTGATCAAGCAAAGCGTCCGGCAACAAACCCGGCAACACGGACATGAGCTAAAATGTTGACTCCAAGCAACGCCTTGCAGCCGCAATCTTTTGCTGGGGAATTACGGAGGAGAGGTAAGTTGACTGCTGGGCACCGGCGGGCAAGAATCGATTGACGTATCGAATGCAACTGCCATGTCCATCCATCGGATCGTCCGCGAGGTCCTGAGTAAGGTCCTCCGTAAGGTGACGAAAAAGAGAGAATGGGGGTGGAGATGGCTCCAATTGTGAGGTGAACTGAGCTGTCAGAACCGGGCTGTATCCGTAATGACAGGTAAGGTACGGTTATAAGTGGAGAGGCCTGCCGGGGACTTCCAGTGCGAAATGTGCCAGTACCAACGGCCTTCCGTGGGACTCTCCAGGGCCATCCCCTGATCCGCACAGCAGCTGCTGGATAAGTGCGTGGCTTGGTGATGTGACCATTGTTAGTTGTGGTGGTTGACGGAATTGGACGTCCGTGATCCCTGTACTGAAGACGAATCACGGCACGGAAGCCAGGGAAATTGTCAATGATTTTACGAATCACAGCTTCGATTCAAGTCCGAGACCCCATGCCTAGCTTCAAAGGGGCGTAAAGATTGGGGATGCTGTTGGGCCTTAGAACGATGATATCCCGACAGCCAGTCTGTCAGAGGTTCAGTTGACTAATGCATGCGGAACAACCCCGCTTCGATGTTCCTTGTGTAATCTATGTGTGCGCCTGGCTCAGAGGTATCGTCATTCTTGTTTCCGAGGTCCGCCAGGCCCATGGAGCCGCCGCGGTCGCCGTCGAATTTCCAACCTGAGAAGTGTCGAGTCAGTGAGTGCCCAAAGTTCTCTGACAGTCTGGCTTCTAGTCAGCCATGTGTCTTCAACGATTTTCACCGAATGTTGTTGCGACGATTCCGAGGGTATTTAGTTCGTCGCGAAGCTATGAGAAGGCAGCCGCGTAAAGGATGCCAAGAAACTCCATCTGGGGCGCATGGTGGGAAGCCGAGGATGAAGCTAGCAAATAGTTGATGTAACCCCTCTTGGTGTGGTACTCCCTGCCAGACCTAGGTGGCAGGCAGGTCAACATAGACTTATCGACCGTCCCAAGGGAGTGGTCGAGTCTTTTTCTTCACGCCGGCCGCTCTGTGCAGGCGGAACAGCGGAAGGTGACCAGAGAGGTCGAAACGTGCATACCTACTCCACGAGGCGTTCACTCCCAGTATCTTGCCATTGCGAACTGCTGGTCAGCACTCGGGAACTCTGCATAGTCTCTAGCGGTAACTAGGCAATGGCAACAGTCGATGTAGCAACAACCAAAGTTTCCCGTCAACTGGAACAGGCACTTGCAGCAGCGTCTGGGCAATATCATGTTAGGAGTGTCTCGTCTCTTGGAACATACCGAAACCGGATACGATCGAGACACATCCAAGCGATGCGGGTCTTGTTCAACGCATCGCCGCTTGACTGTAATGGGCGCTGTCATCCAGAAATCGGCGCGCCAGCAGCACGACTAGTTTTTACCAAAAGATGGAACTAGCATTGAGCTCATGCAGCCTACGACCGGCCCTAAGCGGCTACTTGGCTCAGGATGCAGAGGTCATTGAATCGGGAAAAACAAACGACCCGATCGTTGCGCGCTCTTCGGCGGAGTAAATGCCGTCTCAAAAGAAAAAGCAAGCAAGATGGCAGGTGGTCGTTGATTTTATTGCTTTTTCTTGTGATGATGGGCTGTAGCAGCGGGGGTTTCGTGTTTTACGCCGAGACGTCGAGTTTTCCCACTAACCACATTGCCACAGACATGCCTTTGGCCATGGTGGCCGTGGGAGTCATGGTTGGCTGGCAAGTGTATGAGTATATGGACGGCGGCCGCAAGAAAGGTGGTGGTCTCGGAGCATGAGCATGAGCATGCATAGATGCAGCAGCTGCAGCACTGCAAGACCTTTTCTAGCGCGGTGGAGTCGTGGGTTTGTCCAGGCCGGCAGTTTTGGATCGATAGGATGTGACGATATCTTGCTTTTACACTATCGCTCGAGACGAGCCGGTGCAATATGTGACAAAGTAGGCCGAGCGAGCCCTCCAATGTAGGGCGGTCGGTTCCAGGTGAGTCGGCGGGCGATGGGTGTGAGTGCTGCTGCAGTGTTCAAGCAGAACGAACCATTGATGGACCAATGTGGGCGTATCGAATGGTTGGATCGGCCCCCGGCTGACCACCTCAAGTCCGTAAGCAATGCTTTTCCAGCGCCATTTCCCGGAAGGAGTTGGTTCTGCACAGGAGCGTGGACAGCCTGCTGTGTAACTGGACTCGACCAAATGCACATGTATCCAGGAATGGACGGCGTCATCGTCTCTATCGAAGAGCGCAGGTGGCTGTATGATGTACTATGTATCCGCGAGACTGCGGTGCCTGGGTCGGAGGTATCAGTGGCTTCCGGTAAAAAGACCGGCGGTTACGGATACATGGCGCCCCGACTGCTCTGTGCTAGAGTACCTACTCTAGGGGACAAAGATGAGTGAGGCGCTAAGGCGTAAGACATGCCGCAGACGAGGGATTGATAGGATGGTGTTGCAGAGAAGTTCGTCATGGATCTCGTGATGGATCTCGACGGGGTAAGAAAAGAGTAGCGCGGGGCGAGACAGACGAGGGCAACAAGAGGCCGCGCGATGTGGTGATGTAGGAAACATTGGTGGCGGGATCATGAAGTTGGTGAGAGGCAGACTTGTCTGGAAAGAAAGATGAGACCTCGGCAACCAATGAGACGCTGTCTTGTCCACGTCTTGGACTTGGAACTTGGGAGAGGGGCAGATGTCTTGACTTTTTGGTGATAGGTAGTCGAAGAAGGAGAGAAGGCGCATTGGTGGCAGGGCGCCTTCTCTCCCTGCAGTAGTCTAACCAAGTTTGCGACCTTAAGTGAGCCGAAAAAGACAAGTGCATCTTGGTGCCTTCCAGTCTGGGTCGACTTTGCCTCTGAGCTGGAACTGGCTATGTTAGTAAGGCAAGGTACCTTAACACCTTACATAAGGTATGTACGAATAGGTATGTGCCATTTGGGGCAAGGAGATCCGGGCAAAGAGAATCGGGACATCGAAGGAACCACGCAAACAGCTGCTCTCCGTTTCTGACCTCGGGGTTGGTCATGCTTAGGGTCTACGGATACTGTCTGAGGAAAAGAGACACGATCTAGCCTGGGACTGTGCAAGGACCTGGCCGGGGCGGGAGTTTGAATTTTGGGCCACAAAATTGGATCCTAGAAACATCGTGGGCCCTCCCAACGTAAGGTATTTCTGGTCGACAAAGTTGTGTAGAGCACTAGGCTTGGTCATAGAACCAGCTCCCAACAATAGATCAACGGTTGCCAGTCTCGTGTACCTCGGAAGCATGCCAGCATATAAGGATGATCAGCAAGCGGAAGCAAGGGATGTTAATGTTTGCACAGTTTCTTCCACCTTGTGATCATTAGATAGGTGTCTAGCTAACGTAACTTGACCCATTTGCTACAGAGGCTGAGGGGTCACGCTGGACTCGACTTATTCCAAGTGGTCGTCGATGCAGGCAGTGAGCCGAACTCTCGGCAACAGGCATTACAAAATATCAGACCATGCGCCGCTCCCCCATGGAGCTCAAAATGGGGCCGAGGAAACTAGAGCAGAGTTTTCTCCTTTCCTAATTTTTCCTTCATGCCCGACAGCTCCGTCTGAGTCCGAGAGAGTTGTCAAAAGGCGTAATTGACATTGGACGGACCTAGAGTATAGAATATAAACCTCGCCGTAACAGTAGATTGGGGACGGTCGGCGGCCAGTGCCACCGGCGTGACGATCGGGCCGTTCCTAGCACATAGTCTCCTTCAAGCCCGTACCGGTGCCGTGGACCCCGACCGAAAACTTCTACAGGCCGGCGGGAGGAAAAATCATTTACCAGTGTTCTCACCGATGCAGCCGGCAAGAACTAGTTGACCATGGGTGCATGTTTTTAGCACCGGACGGACTCTCGGGAAAGGACGAAATAACGAGGAAACCGAAGGGCCCAAGTCTGCAACCGCATCAAGGAGGTAGGTACCGCGGTTCCTGCTTATTGTTGGCGTTGGCAAAAGTTCCCCGAGCCTCTCAGGGAGCAGGTCCGGATACTCGAGCCTATCACCAAGGTCAATGGCGCGCCCAAATATCGTCCAAGGGAGGAACAATGCTGATCTCAGGGGAGAAGCTTAAACACACTGCATTGTCGATTGTACGAATCTGTACATGCCCTGCAGCACATACCATCCGAATCCGTTGATTGGCCAAGGCACATTACACACACTCGAAGTTATCCCCGACGCCACAGATGAACGGCGCGAGGAAGGATACGCAACGAATCCGGACATAACGTCGTTTGTCTGCCGTGCGAGCCCCCCACACTCCCGTCCGAATCCCAGAACGATAGATAAACCAACAGAGAGGAATTACCTATCTTGAAGTTGAAAGCCGTTGGTCTTGGCTCTGGTTTGCAGTCCTGATCCTGGTTCACCTTGGGGGCGTGCGGCGTGCCAGATTGTGCTTTGGGCCTGGCATAGGTAAGCCGCAGTGCACGTATGCCTCCTGCTGACGGAAGGGAAACGCGAAAGAAAGGTGAGAGAGAGAGAAGGAGGGAGGTGCGGATAGCTTATCCCGGCAAGGCGACAAGGTTCGTACGGACGCTACCTTACCTCACGGCACGGTACAGTACGACGGTGCAAGACCGGGCAGTACCTAGTGATGGACTGCCCGCCCGTGGGCTAAGGTATTACCTATGGGCCATATTGAGAAATACTTTGGTTCCGAGGCTCCGTGCGGCGCGCCTTTCCTTTTCCAAAAAGTGGAGAAGACGGGCGGCCGCACCCTGTCTCCACCTGGAACGTGCTTTTGCGGTACGTACCTTACCGTTCACCAATGGAGGTTCGACTGGACGATCCCGTCTGTCCCCAGACGACGCGACGGCAGCCAAACTTCAGTCAATCACTCACTCCGTTGCCGCTTTTCCTTCCCCAATGCAATGCAATCCATCCAGTCCAACCCAGTCCAGTCTAATTCGGTCCAGTCTTCACCCCCGCCATTTTACCCGAACTTCATGATCGGCCTCCAGCAGTTTTCTTTTCTCGGCTCACACTCTTGCTCCTCTAGGCCCTCCCTCCCCTTCGGTCACCCGTCCATCCAGCATCAACCAAAGCTTGCCCACCGACGCCTCTGGCTTCCGACTACAGTCTACGGAGTACGGAGTACAGTTCACGGTCGACTTAACCTGCCACCGGGCACGGATACTGTGCGGGAACATTGCACCCCGACATTCCGCTGCCCACGTTCCTTTGTCCCACGCACTGCTCCGCGCACTCTCGAAGCCTGGCCCAGGCCCGCTGCCAATCGCCTATCTACCAACCACCTTCCCTGTACCTCTTCGTGGAGGGAGCAAACATGCATTTCTTGGCTTCAACGTTTACTGCATTCCTGCGTTGCCTCCAGCACGTATCGATACTTACCTCTTGAACCCTGGAACGGCGCCGTTGAACCACGTTCACTTCCCATCGTGCTTGTCGTCGTCGCCTCCTCGTCAAGCCGCACTGAACGAACTACGGTGATAGCCTCGCAGTGCCTCACGGTCGAAGCTGTACTATAACGCCAAGTTATTGGCCATTGTAAGCCATCCGTATGGATACATTACTCTACACGCTTGAATACATACCTACCTACCAGACGGAGCTGACAATTTCATAGGCGGACGTACTCCGTACAAACACCTCAAGTCAAGGATCAGACGCCTCTGGCATGCGACAGGACGCCAGGGCAGGACGCCAAACAGGTCAACCCCCGTTCGGAACCCATCCCCGACCGCGCCATGCTTGGTTCTGATCCGCTCCCTATGCAAGCTCCATCCCATCTTGCGGCCCCGGCTTCACAACATGCCCTAACCACCCGTCTGACGACGTCCCATTGAGCACGGCCAGCGGAGCGGTCTTCTTGCTGGCAATCCAGCAACCAGCCATGTTCGACCCTCTTCCACTCTGCCCTGCCCGCGGTCTTCCACCAGCAAGAGCAAACAAACCGTTTGAATGGACATGCACCTTGCCATTCTACCACGTTCAGCGACGAATGAGCGCCATTCCCCGCATGTTCCGATGGGGCACTGGATCCCCATCAAAATTTGTTTGCTTGCCATGCCAGCCAACGTACTAACTTCCGCGCCGTACCGCTTCCCGCAGGTGTCCCTGAACTGTCAAAAAATTTTCGTCAATCACCAAGTCAACACAACGGAGTCATTCACCGGCCTCTGCTTCCCAAGGTACCCGCTCGACCCCGTCTATCCGTAGAAGCAAGGGCGAACCTACGCGCTAGGAATAGATGCTACGAACACCATGATACTTGAAAAGCTAAACAAACCGCACCCGCACTGGTAAAGCGACCCTATCCGTAGCGGCGCATCCAATGCGCCTTTTTGGGGGTCCATTCCGTTCCTGAAGACTTCTGGATGCCAAAAACGATGATGATTGCTATCATTAGGGAACGGCCGAATCCTGGTCATCGACCTTTGAAGATAGCTTTGAGCTAACAGAGCGCTTGGTCAAAACTTACGTTGATAAGGGCAGTTATTGTCAAGTAGGCAACTCGATCCTCAACCAAGCGGCGATCTTGGATGGAACAGTCCTCCTTACTCGCATTTCTCCAGAATGAAGCTTCCCGAAGGCCACTCACTCACTATAACCGCCGGACCTCTCTATTTGCTATTGTCGTCTAGCTAGAGTTATACAGCACGCCAGCGGTACAATGGTCAAAAGCCTCAATTGCTCGAAAAGGGGATGGTACAGTAAAGCCATTGATATATCCGTACGGGTTGCAGCAGCTCCAGTCTTGAGTCCAGCACAACCTGTACCAATTGTTTCCCTCTCTTCTTCGTCTGACAACGACCCACCGTTCAATATACCCCCTACTAGCGGTCCTAGCTTTACGAATCGGAAAGTCTGAAAGGACATCTACTGTTATTCCCCGCTTTGGTATCTCGCAGTCGTCGTCGTGCCATCAAGAAGTACCTGACCCGAATACTTTATGAAGCTTTTCAAAAGTAATTCGGGCCCAAGGGAGTCTTGCAAGGCTTGCTTAGCGTGCAACAACATCATGGGAGGAAAAGAAAGCCCTGAGACGAACAGCGCGGGCTCGAATGATGCAATAGCCATCTAGAGATGCAGCCAATGCCATGTAATCAACGGAGACCCGTATAACTGGCAAGGCTTTTGCCGACCGATGCGCCGTTCAGCCCGGCCCACCGCTGTCTCACTTCAACCCCTGCTCTTCGACATGGGCTGTCTCCCACACCTTCATGCACTCACACAAATTATGATTTTTATCTGTCCTTCCTTTCGCAATAGCCGGCTACCCAGCGCGACGAGGAGAACGGTTAACGGTTCGACAAATCTAGCACAAGCGCTCTCGCGAATCTCGCAGTAGACATGCGTTCAAGTTATTACTATTGCCACAGGGTGGAATCTGTCCATCGCTTTGGGGCCCGGTGGCCAATCTGCCCTCATGTTCCGCAAGTTTAAGCCTTCAGACGCCAACCTAGTTGACTTATTTGAGGTGAGTGGAAACCAGAGAAATGAAGAGGCATCTGCAAATCCAGACACTCCGGGCTCTGGCTGATCAGAGCCTTCAACTTGCAGGCCAGTGCATCAGTGTTCCTCGGTCTACAGACGGTTGGCAGCGGGGGTGCTTGGGGAGGGCGACCAGGGCTACGAGGATCGCCCTCCGCAACCCTCGCACTCAATGACAGCACATGGTGGGTTTCTGGCCGGGAGGACTACGACGAGGGTCTCTGTTCGACCACATATGGCTGTGTTTGGTTTGGTACAGGCCATGTATGCACGAAGATGCTTACCGTCCTTGTCTGGTACAGTACATGCTCGTCTTGGTCTACTCACAGTAGAGCAAACACCATGGGTGAGCTTGGGGGGTTACCTCGGGAGGGGTGGGTGTGAACTGTGGTCTCCTGCAGACCACCTGTTGGGATGTCGAGCTGCGGCATGGGATGGGACGGTGGTGTATTCATACGGAGTACGGATACTCTCGAGCACCCTCTCCCTTCTGGCTGGCACCTGCCACACCTTATCAGGTTGCAGACTAGGGAGGGGGAGGGTCCTCAAGTGAGGTGGTGAGGTACCTGGTCCCCTTGCACAGCTTCGCAAGTATCCGTACGGATACCCTGACCACATTCCACCACGTCCACACCTAAAGGCTTACCTGAGAAAGCCTTTTTATTCTATCTCGCCCCCCTTCTTTACTCCACTGTCGTCAGTCCCGCGCCGGAAAGACTTGCTGTTCTGCTTCAGGCGTGTGTGCTCATCCGTTTTTCTTGCCTTTTCATATGGCACCCAGACGGACACGTCCATTCCATATTACTGCGGCTCGCTAGTCCCCGGTTCTCAACTTGCAGTCCAGCCAAGAGCTGAAGGAGGGTAGAAGTTCACGTTGACTAGACAAGGGTACCTCCTGGTCTGACTTCCTGCTTTTCTACTCATTCATGTTTCCACAACTGCGGATGCCGGTCTCGCTGCCCCTCGACCTCAAGTCATCTGCGCGGCCTCGTTGCTCAAACCCCCCTCGCTTGCGGGACACTGCTTCTCGCCCGCACTCCTCAGCTGGCTGTCACATACCACGGCAATAATCGAGATACACTAAAAAGCCCTAACTCAGATCATTACGAGAGGTACGGGATCCGTCGACAAGCTCGACTCGCCTCCGCCTTGCAGGTCCATCCTTCCTCCAAGATCCACCTCAGCCCGCGAGCCTTGAACTCATCTAGGGCCCTCACCCTCCACTGCTCCAGCTCGTGGTTATTGGCTCTTTCCTTCTCTTCTGATTCTCTTCCGAAGGCAGCCGTATCCGTTTTGCTCGTGTCGACCTTGGAAACATCGCAAACGCGTCTTGTTGGCTGTTTTACTCCCTCCCTCTTCACACTCGTCAGCATCACCTCTTTCTTGGTCTACAGTCTATACTACACATCACCCTTCCCTCCCCGAGACATTGCGTGGAGAGTTGTGCTCTAAGACAAAACCGCGAACCAGTGGAGAGGCTCTCCCCCCGATGTCTCAAGCCGTCTTGAAAACAAAGAGGACTTTGAGGTCCGCCCTGGCGCCCAGTTTCGCGAACTGATAGATCTGTTTGAACCACCCGGTCCCGCTCTCGCCGCCGACCTTTTTCTCCCAAAAACCCGTAACGCCCCTGACGGGTCACAAACCTCCTGCTTTGTCGTATCTTTCACTTGGACTGTCAATTTCGTCTCTTCAGCCACGAAACAGTATCCAGCAATTTCTCTGCCACAAGATCCACGCTCGGAAGCTATTCGCCTAGCCAACACTGACGGCCCGACCCAAGATCACGCTCATTTTGTGTTGGTCTGCTCTGGATCCCAATCTGTCTGGTGTCCTTCTGCCGGACTTTGGAATATCTACTGAGCAACCCGCTAAACAAACGTCGGTGCGAGTCTGGCTGGCTCTCTACTGCATCTACCCTCGCGCAGTCATTTCGACATATCACAGCCAAGCCCCAACAACCTCCTGCGGGCATTAAGCTTGAACCTCCCCCAAAACAACACATTTTTGCCTTGTGCTAGGCTTGACCATTACGAGGTCACATTGAGGTCTGACTTTTATGGTCCCCTCCTACACACATACTTCTGTTCTACAACAATCATCTCTCAGAAGTCTCACCCTTCACCGCATCTTGTAGGATACTCGAATGCAGATATCAGCACCTCGATGTTGTCTAACCATTGCGTAGTTACACATCGTATTCGCCCCATCACCTTCTGTATTTGGCCGGCAGCGTTACACGCCTGAATCGCATACGATAGCCTCTTAAGACTCGCTCAAACGACGACTCGGTTCTCCTGGCTTGAAAAGTGGACGCAACTTTTATTTCTGTCGGCTTGCTCTCTGGGCTATTTGTGCCGTGACCATGGTCCGCGACTACAGGGAGCCTTACCCTCGGCAATGGCACCCGGAAAGGTTTCCAATTGACCCTCCACCGCCCGAGGATGGTAGATACCACGAAGCTCGTGACGCTCGTAGACCTCCGATTGTGAGTAGTCGCAACGCTATTGACGACTGACGTAGAGCGCTGACTGTCATTAGGATATCGAGAAGGCCCTACGTGATCACTGCAACATTCCAGCCAAGAAATTCTTCATGGTAGCTGTGTTGGACGATGGCTCTACACAGGTGTTCACGAACACGCCAGAAAGGCATCAACCTAATGCTTACAGCAAATTCTTCAACCTGAAGAATTTTGTTCGTCATGTCAATAACGTCAGCCACGCGAGTGGTGTGCGTCCCGGTGGGTTCTTGTCCAAACTGTGCCGTACTAAACGCATACTAAACCCCACAACGCAGTTGCTGCCCCTATTCATGATGATTCCGAATTCAGCATCGACGGTGATGGCTATCAACAAGCATTTGGCGGCAGTTATGGGCACCGAACACACGATCGTCGTCGACTTGGGGGCGATATCTATGATGAGGATGGAAGCTACAAGACGCGCAAGAGGCACAGAGCAGGCATGGGTGGCGGCTATCGGAGACCAGCAAACGACGACGACGACATTGCGATTGTGGTTGCATCCAGCTCCAAGAAGACATTGAAAGTTGGCGACGATAAGGACTTGTGGAATCTCTACGAGCAACGATTCAAAAACTGTCAGCAAACAGCTTGCAAACTCATCGCCAAGGCTTGGGTCAAAGTGGTCGAGCCCAAGAAGCAGACGAATCATCCCTATACTGGTCAAGACGAAAAGGCCCCGGACTGGTGGCCTAAGCCATGGGGACCTACGAAAGAAGAGAAGGTCAGACACAAGGAGCCTGATCATCTGTACAAGCGAGGTAAGATCTTCTTCAAGTGAGCACCCCTTCCAGGTGCACCCATTGACTATTGGAATCAGAGCGAGTCCAT